ACACACACACACATACACACACACACACATACACACACACACACATACACACACACACACATACACACACACACACACATAGCTGATAAAGGAGAGCCTGGCTAGTGGCTAATACAACTGCCTGATATGTAATACAGACCAGGTTCAAATCCCAGTAAGGGTGTGGCTAGCTGATGAGAGCTAAATATCTTGAAATAGATCTATACTAGTCTCCCTTTATTTATTTATCAGCACAAATGCAAAACACACACACACACACATACACACACACACACACACAGTGTGTGTGTGTGTGTGTGTGTGTGTGTGTGTGTGTGTGTTTGCAATAAGGGTAGTATGTCCACTCCTTACTAGGATTTGTGTGTGGTTCTAGCTCTAAATGAAAGTGGAATATTATGTTTTGGTTCACTTAAGAGTTTTGTTGGATCAGTAGAGGGAAAAGCATATATTTTAATTGCTAAACTTCACACAGGGCCCAGGAATTGATGTATATTCTATTTAATACCTTGTTATGTAATTGTTATTTCAACAGATATATTTTAAAAAATCATTCAGGCTTATATTGTATGCATGATAGGCTTGAGATATTCCATGTAGCATTCTTCTTTATTAAAATTAGTTAAAAGCAATTCTAGGATGCAGAAGCCTAGAAAATTGAATAGTGGAACTGATAAAATGCTCCCTGCAATTTTGGCTCAGATTGATGATAAAATTACAGAATTTTTCTTTAGGCCAACGCTATCTTCTTATTTTTTAAAATGTAAGGTATATCATTGTCGGTCTATCCTCCAGAAATAATACATCTTTGTCCATGTCAGTTGCAATCTAGATAACCATTGAATCATAGTTCTTTCATATGTGTTAGCAATAGTTACATGTGGTTGTTCCACAAGAGTAATATATGGAGGATAGTAAGTAGCTAGGATGTTGCAGTTACTAAAGTCCACAACTGAGAACAAGTTTGGCATAGTGACTAAAGGCTAAAAATCAAGAGACTTAGATTGTAGCCTTCTAGCCATGAACATGAAACCAGCTGGATGACCTTGGACCAGTCACTTTCTGTCAGCCATAGGAAGAAAGCAGTAGTAAATTTCTTTCAAACCTTTTTGCCACACACAAAAAAAGCTCACAGAGATTTGTCTGTGAGATTGCTAGGAGTAAAATCTGTCTTAAAAGTACAATGTAAAGCATATGGCTAGCTTAAAGTCCAAATTAATTAGTTTAAAAGTTTATTGGATGAACTGACAATAGCTGGATATCATTCATCACACAGAATTGTGTGGGTTAAATATTTTTACAGCATTTCAAAAATAGCTGAGAAGTGGTTTTGATTTTTAATTCAGTATTTTGACTAATGAACAAAAGGAGTAATCTTCTAAACAACTTCTTTGTGTCTTGTTTTTAATAGCCCTTGACCCATCTAAAGATCCATGCCTGAAGGTAAAGTGCAGCCCTCACAAAGTGTGTGTCACTCATGACTACGAGACAGCCACTTGTGTAAGCCGCAAACAGTTGGTACACAGGTAAGAAGCTGTGATTTATGGTTTCAATTAAGTATCTTTGTTCAGAAGAGTATCCCAGATTTCACATTTTTAGGTGATAATATTGTACGGGGAAGAGAGAGAAGAAAGGAATGTTCCCCAGTCACTATAAACCAATTTACCTTGTGAAAAGTGCTATAGTGCTAAGCACTGCTGAAGTTTTCTACATTGGGCTTGTAGCTAATTGCCTCCCCAGTATTGTGTTATTCTGAAACACAGAGAAGCAGTATGGCAGTGATCATTGTTGGAGCGTGAAAATATTTTCCTAGGAGTGAAGCTACAGTTGGGTATTGAGTAGAGCTGTGCCTTGAGAACTTTTCTGCCCTCAACAAATGATTTCCAATGAAATGTGCTATTTGCAGGAAGCAGAGGAGTCGATGAAATGTCATCGCTTCTGGCTCAGTTCTGTTTTAAAGCACATTTTCTCAATGAAAGAGGCTTCTAGGCATAATGCGGGAGATTTGCCAGAGGTTGCAAGAACTGAACTTCCATTGTAGTTCCTATTCCCTATGCTGATGCAAAACAACTGAAGATTTCTTGGAGACCAAAAGGCAAATTCACCCAAGAGATTTTCTGTGTATTTATTCACGTTGTACACACAGGCATATTAAAGGGTTTGGCTAAGCTCCCAGGTAAAATATCTGTCTCTCTCTAAAGTAGAGATCAGAGCTTACATATGACACCTGGGTACGTGTTTATTAGAAACTTCAACAAAAAAAGGCAAAATGTTTGTGGCAACATCACAACACAAATCCAGCCTTTTGTACTTGTATTCTGATGTACTTGTACGTGTCCTGGAGACAAATTATTTGTTTGTCTAATCACACCTGGCTAAATAATTCTATTCTGTTCTATGTCAGAGGCAAGCACATAATTCTTGGGATTTGTGGACATGTCATCATTTCCCTCTCTTTGTGGAATCTATGATGGGACAGCCAGCAACACTGACAGTTGCATTTATCTAGAGAAGTGTCATATTATATTTTTTTCCCCATTCTACTTGTTACTATGGCAAACAAAATTGGTGAGCATGCCAAATATTTCCCTCACTCCTAATCTTCAGGCTACCTGATCTTCACTCTATCTTAAAAAAAAACATCAAGAGGGTACAATGTTGAGTTCATTTTTAGTCCTTGTCTGCTTTTAAAAACTAAGAGTTTGTGTATTACAAAGCCATATCTATATACCCTTTCTGCATCAGCTTTTAAAGATATGTTTTCATTTAGTGTTTCCATGCATTCAGTTTTCTTATTAGAAAATCTATTTGCATTTTCTTTTAAGATTCATTACCATAAAGCCTATAAAATTGAGCAACACATCACTCACCTACTTTCTATCTCCTATATATTTCCATGTCTCCCTCTTTTTAGAACATTGTGAAAACATTAAGAGTTGGGTTGAATGCAATCACTCATTTGGGGATAATTTTTAATAAGTTCAGTATCTGATTTTTGCAAATTTATACCCGACAAAATCAAAGGCAGTTTGATTCTTGATCAATTCTTTTTCCCCCTCTTTAAATAGTATATGTAGCATGCCACTAATACTTCAAATATGACATGAACCTATATTCTTTTCTTGATGCTGCAACATTTGAGAATGGTAATTAATGTGTTTGATGATAAAAGTGGGAAGGGGAGAGTGGAGAATGATGAAAAGCTAAAAGTGTTTGATTATGTGAAAGCCCAATTCATTTGTCAAGGACATAGCTAAAGACTTTTGGCATGAATCTCTGTTTGATTAAGGTCAATTTTATTTAATATTCATTATCTAAAAGCAGACAACCAGTGGCTTACAGAAGCCCACTAATATATATCTCTAGCAACATCCTTCTATTGCCATTTTTTCAACTCCTAACAATAGTTTTCCAGTGATATAATGCTGTGAAACCAAACATTCTATGGAAGCATAATTATTTTTAGCAATTATAATCCCATAAATTTTGTAATCATTGTTTGAAGGCATTCAACTCAAATGCTTTCTTTAACAATTCAAATTCTCATTCTATACAATTTCATTAATTCTGGTTTTTAATACATGTCAAAGAGGCAGGAGATTTTCATCACACCATGCATAATGCTATACTTAATTTAATGTATTATACAGGTATTAATGAATATATTTAATTATCACTCATGATCATGTGAATAGAAGTTAACATCAGGAAGGGAATTAGCTACAAATACAAATAAAAATGTGAGAATCTTAGAACACCATGACTATTAAAGGTTAAAAAGTTGTTCAGCAATAAAATTTGGACACTGTTATAAAATTTTGGGAAAAAATAATTGAATTCCATTGAAGTGGCTTCTCTAAACCCTAATAGTCTAGATAATGGTTTTTATGGCATTACCTTACCAATCCCAGACTATTTCTGAATTTTTAGATTTTATGTGCATTTAAGGTATAACATCACGGTCACAGAAAATACTTCTATTTAATCTCCTACTATCTACCCTCTTAAATTTAAAACACGCAACAAGATATATATCAGCCATTTGGTTTAGCACTTAATGCAACTAATATAATAGTCAATGGAAGTTTATACTTGGAGTTAATATTAGAATCTAAATACAATATTATACAATGTGTTGTGTTACTCATTATCAGTAAAACAAATGCAGCCTAATATATACTATATCAGGTGTACCCAACTCTCGATCCATGGACATGCCAGCAACGAGTCCACACAAACAGGCAAAGCCCTATCCATGGGTTGCAGGCAGTATACAAAACCATGCACGTTCTGATCCGCAGAAAAACCTAACTCAACTCGGTCTCTGCTGCCCCAAAGGTTGGGGGCCACTGTTCTATATGATCAAGAGAACTTTGTTTTCGAGTGAAGAGGAAAAAAATGCATTGCCGGTTCTACAAAATTAAATAAAGGCAACAAAGTCAAAAGTTTTAGAAAGCACAAAAGTGTTAGAGTAAAATATATTTGTTTTACAAGACACCCAGGTGATTTATTACAATGACTGGAGTTTCAGATTTTATGAGAAAGAAATAGTCACCTGATAACATACACTACTAGTAAGAATCTATATACATTTGTAGGAGGAGGAATGTTCTGTTAAATGAAACATGATGAACTTATGTTCAGACAGATGGTTATGGAATCTGATCTGGATTCCCAGGAGGGAGGGAGTGCATTCCAGAGGAACAAGAGACAACTCAGTTCAGATAGTTTGTGTAAGAGAAAAGGGTGAATACAATGGAAAGTAGATAATAATGTTGGATTATGGAGTGTTCTTTTAGCATATTTTTACTTATTGGTCTGGAAAAGTTTTTTATTTCAAAATTATTCAGTAGCTTGTTTTTTAATCATATCTAGAGTATGACCAAAAAATAAATTTATGTATTTTATTTATTGTTTTGTTTATTTTATTATACTTTATAAATCTTTCATTTATTTTTTAGCAACTTAAATGACTTCCCAACTTGAAAACACATTCTAATCAA